AGCTTTCAGGGTGAGGGAGCTGCTGTTGGGAAAGGAGCTCCAGGCTAAGAGAATAATGTGTGCAAAGGCCCTGAGGAGTGAAGGAGCCCCAGTGTTCTAGGGCTAAGTCCAGGAGGGACAGAGCTAGCAAGGGACAGCAGAGAGTGGTAAAAGATGGGATGGAAGGGCAGATTTTTGGCAGATCATGAAGGGATGTGTATGCCCTGGGAAGTTGCTTCAGAGTTTTCAGTAGCTTCTCAGCACTCGCTTGTAGTTAATACTGGCGAGTAACAGCTTAGCTTGCCCATTACTAATGTGACATCCTCCAGCTCCCTAGCCCATCCCCTAGCACCTTTCCCATCCCCAGATATTTTGTAGCAGCAGAAGTCAACTCAGGAAAACAGTTATTTGTGTAAAGATGTGTAGTCAACTGGTCTGTATATACCTCCCAGGGCCAATGTTATATACTTAATGCCCAGCAATGAATGGGAAAATACAGTAGGATTCACAGGCTGTGCATACATTTTTCAATTTAAAAACCATTACTGAATCTTTAAGAACATGTTTGCTTTTTAGTAAGCTGTAAAATAATATCATTACTCTACCCCATTAAGTTTTACTACACTATGTTAGCATTATATGTTTTCCTTTTGTACATTTTAAAATTTGAAGATAACAGTAGCTTTGGAATACTTTACTGTTTTCTTTTGTCATTTCTTTCTTTTTTTAATCTTTCCATTCCAGCAGGCCTGACCTCAGGGAAAAGATCTAATAGACTGCCAGGATTAAATTTTATTTAACAAACATTTACATAGAGATTGTTCTGTGTTCCATATGATCTAAATGCTTTACAAAAATAAACTGATTTAACCCTAAAACAAGCCTATAAGATCAATACTGTTGTTATCACTCCCATTTTACAGATGAAGACGCTGGAGCACAAAGAGATTAAGTAAAATAGCCCAAGTTCATACCACCAGGAAGTGGCAGAGCTGGGTTTGAGCCCTGGAAGTCTGTCCCCTGTGTCTGTGCTAATAGCCATTTCCATCGGATGGAAATTTCCTTGTGTAGAAGCAGCACTACAGGGCATAATTGTTAACCCCCTTGTGCTTGGAGGCTTGTGTTTTTCCCTTGTCCACTGGAGAGGATTCTGACTTGACATGTGGATCTCCCCTCATCCTCTGACCTCTCAAGGAGCCTCCTGTCAAGCAGGGCGGGGTTTCAGGTTCGTTTCTTGGCGTCAGGAGAGAAGGGCAAAAGGAAAAGGTAGAGTATGGGGAGGAGACTGTCAGGGATTGAGGAGATTGCTTAGAGAGCCAGATGGCAGCTGCTGTGCTTGAGGTCTGAGGGTCCATGAGACTAAAAGGGAAATTTTAAGAAGCATTACAGAGAAGAGAAACTTCTTTTGCTGAGAAGTGTGAGAAGTCAAGGCAAACAGGCTTTCATGGTTCTGAATGCTGTTTTGTTTTTATCCCGCATCCTGGAATGGCTGCTACTCCATGCCGAGCCTGGTGAGCCACAGTATTACAATAGCAGGGCAGCTGAAAACAGTGCCATTTTATTTTCATTTTCTATTCTCCTTTTTTCTCTAGCTTTGCCTTCCTCCTTTCCTCTCTCTCTTTTCCCTTCCCTTTTTTCAGGATCCATTTTTGGAGCACCCATTCTGTGCCAGGCCTTGTTCATAGCCTCTGACCTTCAGAAGCTCACAGTCTTGATATCATCAAGGAGAACATTTAGACTACATACACTTTTCCAGTAACGTGAGGACATTTTACCGCCTGCAGCCCCCTGGGCAGCTGCTACTTTCCGAGGGTCTATCAGCAAAGCTTGCACTTTGTCATGCCTACGATTTGAGAATCTGCCTTCCACTTGGCATCTCTCCAATAGGTTCTCATTCACTCCTTCTGAAGGCTTGGGAAAAACACAATTTGAGAAACTGTTTCACAGTTTACAAACTTCTTAAATACTTGTCTGTGAGTGCTGCTGGACTTAGAACAGGAGTTAGCAAACTCTTTTCTGTAAAGAACTGGATATTAAATATTTTAGGCTTTGCAGGTCATTCAGTCTCCACGTTGCTGTTGTACTGTGAAAGTAGCTTTATCCAATATGTAAACAAATGTGCATGACTGCTTTCTGAAAAACTTTATTTACAGAAGCTGGCAGCAGGTGGATTTGGTTTGTGGGCTGTAGTGTCTGCTGAGTCCTAGAGAAAAATTTGGATTCTTCCATGCATAGACAGTATCCCCTATGGATGTTCTGATCCAACCAGAGGATCCCTAAGTGACTGTGGAGCTTATGCAATGAGGTGGTGGTTTCTTTAAGCTTCCTACCAGCAGGACTTTTCAGGTGTTTCTGGTCACATGACAGGAGATGTTACATTAAGTTGTTACTCCAATCAGAACTGAAACACAGTTGCCTTAATCTTCATGGACTTCCAGTTTTTTTTTGTTGTTTTCGTTTTTTTTTTTTTTTTGAGATGGAATTTGCTCTGTTGTCAGGCTGGAGTGCAGTGGCATGATCTCAGCTCACTGCAACCTCCGCCGCCTGGGTTCAAGCAGTTCTCCTGTCTCAGCCTCCTGAGAGGCTGGGACTACTGGCACTCCCACCCCCACCCCCACTCCCACCCCACCACACACAGCTAAGTTTTATATTTTTAATAGAGACGGGGTTCCACTGTGATGGCCAGGATGGTCTCAACCTCTTGACCTCGTGATTCTCCCACGGCCTTTGGGAGACCTCGGCCTCCCAAACTGCTGGGAATTATAGACATGAGCCACCATGCCCAGCCAGGCATCCAGTTTTTTAAGGCAGCCAAGGAAAGTGTAATATATAAAATGGAATTTTGGGGAAAATGCTGGGTGTGAACACACACCTATGTACAAACAATTCTTGAACACGTCGATGTTTTGTGTGTCTTGAGTGGGTAAATCTATGGTGATGGTGATGTTGGCTGATCCCTTTCACTTGTTCACTTGATGTGGACAGAGAAGGAGAGGTGAAAATGGGGTCATCCCAGGGACCAGAGCTGAATAAGATGGTTGGGTGGTTATTCAAGATGCAGGAAGGTGACTGCTATGTCTCTCCTGGGAATATAGAAACCCCACTAAGGGAAATGCATCCTGCAAGAATAGCCACAAAGGGGTGACCTGTGTTGAATCTAGATGCTTTGATTTAAGGCCTATGAATGCTTTTAAATGGAACATGTGTTTCCAGACCTCCAAGTCCTCTCCATTGTTATTATTCCTCCCTATGGGGTTTGAGTTCATACTCTGTGAAGGTCTTCTTTGCCACTTTCCGCACACACTTTCTCCAGTGCACTTTCCCTTTAAACAGCCAGCACCTGCAGGCGTTTCCCAGAGGAATGCCTTTGGCCTATGGAAGCCCTATGCCCACATTGAGATGAGTCAGAAGTGCCTTGGAATTTACAGCCTCCAGGGCGACCTTTAACCGATGACTAAGGGGATGCAGGAGTTTAAAAACTTCCTTGCGTAGGGTGTGGATGATGATGACAACTACTGGGGTAACTTACCCTCCAGAGTTCCCCGTGGGTCAGGCTGCTGGACTTGGCATGAAATGTACCCTGTCCGACTTTGCTCACAACCCCTCCTTTCTTTCCTCCTCTTTCCCTCCCCACCCCACCCCCCACCCTGACCAGTTTACGCTGGGAGCACTTCCTGCATAAATCACTTGTGTACAGATCCTCATTTCAGGGATAGCAGTTTGAATAGTGAGGTGTGTGCAAGTAGTTTACGCCTCCTGGATAAGGTACTCAGGGCCTAGCATTATATTGGAAACCTGGTAGGATTTGTGAGATCTGGCTGCATCTTTAAATTCTAAAACCACTACTGAGTCTTTAAGACCATGTTTGCCTTTTATAGTGAGCTCTAAAATGATTCCATTACTCCACCCCATTAAGTTTTGAGACCTGTCCCAAGACTCATTCCCTGAAGAAAAATGTAAAGAGCTACGAAGGAGAGGTAGAATCCAGGCAGATACTTGGGCCAAAAAATGAAATGGTCCATTGATTACAGGAAAGGAAAGAGGAAAACAACTTAATTTAGATTGAAGCTCCTCTCCCATTTTTTTTTCTCCGTGTATTAGAACATAATGAATTTGTAAAATAAGAAACAGTAGATGAAGGTAATGCTTTTCAAATGCCTGCAAATTAATCTTATTGGATTCTCCCTGCTTCAGCCTTCCTGTTTTCTCCTTCATTCAGCCTAGCTCAGAGGTGGTGGGCACCCAGTGACACCCACAAGTTATCATTTGCTAGCTAATATCACAAATTAGTAAATGTCGTATCATCCTCCCTTTTTCTCTTTTGGGTATTTTTTTTTTTCTGTTCTCCTCACTATGAAACATCATCTCAATGCGGGACAGGGGTTCCATAGGCCAAAGGCATTCCTCTGGGAAACACCTGCAGGTGCTGGCTGTTTGAAGGGAAAGCACGCTGGAGAACGGGTGTGCATGTGGTCTTGATCTCTTGACCTCATGATCCGCCCACCTCAGCCTCCTAAAGTGCTGGGATTTGCACGTGGCAAAGAAGAGTTTCACAGAGTGCAAACTAAAAACCCATAGGGAGGAATAATAACAGAATGATGAGGACTTGGAGATCTGAAATACATGTTCCATGTAAAAGCATTCATAGGCCTTAAAGCATCTAGGTTCAGTGCCGGCCATCTCTTTGTGGTTATCCTTGCAGGATGCATTTCCCTTTGTAGTGTTTCTATGTTCTTGAGCCTGAGAGCTCAGAGGTGGAGGGCACATGGCGCCACCCACCTAGTTATCATTTGCCAGCTAGTATCACAAACTAGTAAATGATGTATCATCCTCCCTTTTTCTCTTTTGGGTATTTTTTTTCTTTTCTCCTCACTATGAACCATCATATTCAGGAGAAGAAAGAGTTTAGAGAGTTTAATACTGATTCAAAAAGTCACGAAAATCCCCTTTAGTTATAAAGAGTGGTGGAAAAATGTGGATAAATATGTATTTATATTTTTAACATTTTATTTTATTTATTCCAGGGGAAAGCACGAATACAGTCCCCCACTACCACAAATTATGCAATTGAGTTTCCCACATTTGAGGAAATCGCAGGGCTCAGCACATCCGGAGCACAAGGGATAAGCCTCACTCTGGGAAAACCACCTTCGTGATCACGGTATCTCCCCTACCAGGTAAGATTTACATTGTATTTTATTGATATGTAGCATGTGTTTCACTGCACCAATAATATTATATTAATTTATAATATTTAAGTCACACAATGTAATGTTTTGATATATACATATGGTAAAATGATTACTACAGTCAAGTGGACTAACATATCCACCTATCATCACCTCACATAGTTAAGTTCTGGTGTGTGTGGGAAGAGCACCTAAAATCTACCCTCTTGGCAAATTTCCAGCAAACAATACACCATGCTAAATAAAATCTGCGGCTGGGTGTGTTGGCTCACGCCTGTAATCCCAGCACTTTAGGAGGCTGAGGTGGGCGGATCATGAGGTCAAGAGATCAGACAATCCTGGTAAACATGGTAAAACCCCATATCTACTAAAAATACAAAAATTAGCTGGGCCTGGAGGCACATGCCTGTAATCCCTGCTACTCAGGAGGCAGGAGAATCACTTGAATCTGGGAAGCAGAGGTTGCAGTGAGCTGAGATGGTGCCACTGCACTCAGCGTGGTAACAGAGTGAGACTCCATCTCAAAAAAAAAAAAAAATCTGCGTGGTAAATGTTACATCTAGACTTAATCATTCTACTTCATTGCAAACTTGGGCTCTCTGACTCATATCTCCCCATTTTCTCCTCCTCCGTGCCCCTGGTAACCATCATTCTAGTCTCTGTTTCTATGTATTCTCTATTTCTATGTATTCAACTTTTTTTAGATTCCACATACGTGAGATCATGCAGTCATTCTGTGCCTGGCTTATTTCACTTAGCCCGTTTTACTCCAGGCTCATTTGTGTGTTTTTGCAATTGGCAGTACTTCCCTTTTTATAAGCCAAATAATATTCTATTATATGTATGAAGATTACACACACATACACACACATTTTCTTTACTGATCCAAACACAGGTTATTTATTTATTAGTTTGTTTCCACATCTTAGCTATTGTGAGTAATGCTGCAGTGAACATAGGACCAAAGATAGCTACAAGGTGCTGATTTTATTTCCTTTGGGTCTGTGCCCATCAGAGGGATTGCTGATCATATCGCAGTTCAAGTTTTAATTTTTTGAGTGACCTCCATCGTGTTTTCCATAGTGACTGTACTAATTTACATTCCCACCAGCAGTATGAAAAGATCCTCTTTTCTCTATATCCTTGCTAACACTTGTTTTCTCTCATCTTCTTGATAAGAAGTCATCCTAGCAGGTGGCTTCTCACTGTGGTTTTGACTTTCATTTGTCTGATGATTAGTGATGCTGAGTACCTTTTCATACATCTATTGGCCATTTTCATGTGTGTTCTTTTTAGAAAGTGCCTGTTCAGATCCTTTGCTCATTTTTTAATAAGGTTCTTTGTTTTTTACTTTTGAGTTATGTGACGGTTGAGTCAATGAAACTTGTGTGTTGAGAAAGGTTCTGTAATGCTGACCTGGCTTATACAATTTAAAGAGAGTTTCTTGAATCCCATTTTGATGAATTCTTTATTCCCCAATAGTCCTAATCTAAAAACGTTGCCATGAAAGGGGCAGCAATACTCAGTGTGGTGCAGGAACTGGCTTGTATCAACTCACAAGAGCCTATTGTTAAGTTTTCAGGAATTATGCAAACTAGTCAATGTTACATTGGTAGCTTGAAAGTGGCTGTGTTGGAAATATTTACACCATGAACATTGACAAATGCTTTAAATCAGGCCACACCTTTCCCACTCCTCCCCAGGAGATCTGAGAGTCAAATGTTTACCAGAACACTACTGGCAGTGCCTGGACCTTTCCTCTACCCACTTGTTGTCTGCTATGCCTGTGGACTGGCTGGGTTAACAGTGGGGTGTCTAGGTAAGTGTCTGGATCAGGATTGCTGCAAAGGGCTCCTTGCTTTTTCTCCACTGGGTTGCGCATAACTTTCATGAACGCTTTTCCTCCTGCCAGCAGGTCTGTTCTTGCATTAGAAAAGGTTGTGTCCAGCTGTCTCTCTGCACTTGGAAATACATATTTTATGAGATAAATGAAGAAATGTTTGCAACTCGTATACTTTTCCTCCCAGAATATTTGAATATTTTGAAGCTATGGCCTCATCATTTTGCTGAGAGGAGAAAGAAAGTCAGCCTGATTCCTGGCTTGTATGTGAGTGTTAGAACCCATGATCATGATGGGCAGGCTTAAAAATGTTCTTTCTGCCAGGGCATGAACCTTGTTTTATGATGAGAATAATAGGGGTGGTTTTGAATTAGGCTGTTATGAGTGTGCCTATGAATATATGTGAATGCAGCTAAGTAGCTTTAATATTCATTCATTCAGCAGACATCAGCTTCATAATGTAGACTCTCAGCCCAGCAGGGAAGAACTCAGACGTGTGTGCCTATTGCCCGAGTGAAACATGGTATGATAGAATGGAGTTGAGGTTTTAAGTCAAGCAGACCTGTGTGTGAGTCTTAACTGCAGTTCTCTCACTGTATAAACTTAACTGAGCCATTTAACTGCAGTTTTGTCATAAGTAGGATGACAGTAATACTCACTTTTCTGAGGAAAAACAGGAGCTTCCTGGGCAAAGTGGGATGCAATCATCCACAAACAGGGTGCAGCTTATGCAAAGGTGTGGAAGGATGCAATGTGACAGGAACATTAAAACTGGGTAACTAGTTAAGAGACAAAATATCTGATGTCATTTTCTCTTTAAAAAATAAATGACTTATTTGTGTTTCCTAAATCTCAAGGCCATATGTTGAAAAGAGTTAGATTCTAATTTTTCTAACTGTAAGTGCTTGGACTTTTTCTCACCCACTCAGGCTTAAATCCTTTGTGCAAAGGAAAGGTGGCATCCATCATTCTCTCAAAGTTTGCTCCACATACTCCTTTAAGTCATATGTATAAGAATAAGTAAATGCCAAGAGAACACTGGATCCTTCCTTCTCTTGGGCAAATAATAATGCTCCCAGATGCGGAACTGGGCGTTGCTTTGCATTTCAGATGTGCCCTCTGTTACCTTTGTATAGAGTGAATGCAGTGATAGAAGATTACAGACCTGCAGCTAGTGGTAGAGGATCAGGAGGGGACTGGATTATTGGAGAGCTGTTCTCGTGTTCAGGGCCTGGGTTCCAGAATCTCCAGTGGCTGGAGGGATGGACCTCTGTATTTATTAAAAAGCTCCCTGGTCACTTTTTAAATTTTTTTTTTGATGAGTTTTTTTTCTTATAAATTTGTTTAAGTTTCTTATAAATTCTGGATATTAGCCCTTTGTCAGATGGATAGATTGCAAAAATTTTCTCTATGCAGCCATAAAAAAGGATGAGTTCATGTCCTTTGCAGGGACATGGATGAAGCTGGAAACCTTCATTCTCAGCAAACTAATACAGGAACAGAAAACCAAACACCGCATGTTCTCACTCATAAGTAGGAGTTGAACAATGAGAACATATGAACACAGGGAGAGAAACATCACACATTGGAGTCTGTCGGGGTTGGGGAGCAAGGGGAGGGATAGCATTAAGAGAAATACCTAATGTACATGATGGGTTGATGGCACAGCAAACCATCATGGCACGTGTATACCTATGTAACAAACCTGCATGTTCTGCACTTGTATCCCAGAACTTATAAAACGTATAAATGTATAAAAAGAAGCTGCCTGGAGATTCAGACACATCCTTTCATTCCCCACCACTCTAACTCCTTTCTTTTGTTCACTAAATGCACTGGCGTGGAGTGTACTGCAGGGAAACCTCGTGCTGTAGTATTTTGGAATATCGTCTTGAAGGGGCAAAGCCTAGGGTTCTTCTTCAGACTTTTTATTCACTATTCTAAATGTGATCCATTCTCCCAAACATAATATTTTCCCTTGGGAATAAAAACACTGAAAAGGTACTCAAAATAAGTGTGTCCTCCCTGAAAATTGCCTCATTTTTATCTTGAATTTTTTTCCCTTTACAAATTCTGTATTTGCTGAGCAACCAAATTATGATGACAATAACAAACCCCCAAATAAAGCTGTTTCCGTTTTCCATATTTACCGCCAACCTTGTCCATATGTAGACATGATCAATTTCCAGTGTTAGTCATAGGGTCTATATAATTTTTTATTCTGCTTGATTCACTTAACATTATATTATAAACAAATGTTGAGTTTCTTTGTCGTATTCCTAACAGACATTTTGATTGGCTGCATACTATTCCATCAAGTGGATGTAATTTTATTTACTTAACCGTTTCTCTATTAGTAGGTATTTATGGTATTTACAATTATTTTTAATGACGTACATTAAACTAACACAGAAATAACATCTTCTGTAATCTCACACTTTGGGAGGCCGAGGTGGGTGGATTACCTGAGGTCAGGAGTTTGAAGCCAGCCTGGCCAACGTGGTGAAATCCTGTCTGTACTAAAAATACAAAAATTAGCCAGGTATGGTGTCACACACCTGTAATACCAGCTACTTGGGAGGCTGAGGCAGGAGAATTGCTTGAACCCAGGAGGCAGAGGTTGCAGTAAGCTGAGATCACACCATTGCACTCCAAATAGAGTGAAACTCCATCTAGAAAAATAAACATCTTAGACATGGTGCTTTTACAATTTTTTGTTTTGTTTTAAAATGATTATATTGAGCACAATTTTCAAAAGTGGCAAAATGACCTAAAAAAGTTTCTAGGTACAAGTTTATAGGATAACCAGATTTCAAATAGAGATGTTTACCAGCTTTGTCAGATATTCATCCCTTTTGGATTTTTGTTCATGTCAAGAGATGTTACTGCTAACTGGGATTGAACTAGAAAGAAGATCAAAGGGCAACAGAAAACATGCTGGGCCAGGCATTTAAACACACATAGCAAACTCTCGCCTGTAGAACAGAGGTGTGGCATTTGTTATAGATTTCCGTTTAATGGATATGACAATTTGAGTGTAGCTTTGGGAAAATCAAGAGAAGCCATTAGGGTCCACTCCTGAGGAAACAGCCTGAATGTCTATATTTGGGAGGTCTGTGAAGCTTTCTGGAGTATAATAATCACAGCACTCCTATG